TCAAAAAAAGACAGGAGAAACTACGAATATTAAGCGAGTGTGCACAGATGGGCTTCCATCTACTGTATACATGGCGTTTTTGGTTTAGAGCATATCTAATTGTATACAAATGCTTCCAGCTGCCCATATCTTCTTTGCTGAGACTTTCCAAATCTCCAGCGATTCGGAATTACAAAAGTAAATTTAAGTAATGGAATAGAATTTGCATGGTATTTCAGATCCACATCCCTGTCAAAAATCCAAAGCCAAAAACCTAATACGGCCCTGAGTACATATAGTCATCTTACTGTGTTGAAACAAAGAAATAGGAGATGCTCAGACTACAAACCTATTGCCTCTTCCTGAACTCCATGCAATTGAGAGTTCTGTCAAGCACCCACTTCATATTTTTAAGGTGTTCACAATCAGCAGCAAATAATCACCAACTGCAATTGCTCTCCCCAGATGGCATGCTCTTTAAACTCAATGGGGCTTATTTCAAAGTAAACACGCATTGGACTGTTTTTAGAGTCTAATGTTATATTTCTAGCTTCAATCCTGTCTCCTCTTTTTTTTAATTGTCACACAACATGGCCTCTCAAATTTACTTCTCCTGATCAATTCTAAACACTAGACATTCACCCTTCATATTCATCACCTGGGCAACAACACATAAATTTATATATCCAACATTGTTTAAAAATATGCTTCGTAAGCAACAAAGCACTGTTCTCTCTGTCTCTCTCACACACATAGCCAGATTAGACAGCATATAACCCCCCCCCCCCCCCATTCAACCTTCAAGAACTCTCTAGGCAATTTCCCTGCAATGATTTTATTCTGGTCCCCTCACCCCACTTGTTTTGAGAGCAACTGTAGCAAGTGGCAGTTCTGCTCAAGAACTCTATTAGGAAGCCAATTCTGGAATTTAGAACCTGAGTCATCAGCTCTGCAAATATGGAGTAATTATTGGACAGGAATACATTCTACCCATCTGCAGACATTACTTGGACAGCCAAGGTATCGTTTCTAGATTACAATTCTAAACTTGCTGCTGCTTCTGCTCTCAGTACCACTTTACCCACAACGCCCCACTCAGCCCAGAAACTGAGAAAAAATTCCTGGTTGGGAAATTCTGGGAATTGAAATCTAGACATCTTAAAAGTTTCTGAGGTTGAGAAACACTAGTAATGGCAATCAGGTAACATGACCTCACTCTTCCAATCCAGTTACCATTCCATTTTCTCAGACAAGAGTCTTGGGGATGGAGTGGGTGGGCGGCAGATTGTTGGCAGGAGATTTTCTGGCTCCTGCTCTGAAATTTGTGGTATCTGTATTAATTGCTATGCATTAAAGGGATGGAGCTAAGCTAAGAAACCATGGCTTGAGGATTCTTGTGTCCCACAGGTCACATTTTCATCATGTAGCACCACACAGGTGATATTTTTCAAAATTGACCACTGATGCTGCTAACCTCCCTCATCCCTTTTCTTCTAGTGGAAGGATTTAAAGAAATTCTAGAACAGACATGTCAAACTTGCGACGTCATGTGACGTCGCGCAATGTATCGGGAGAGTTTTGCCATTGCCGGCAATAGGGTGGACGTGGCTTCCGCATGACACGTCCGGCCCGTGGGCCGGCAGTTTGACACCCCTGTTCTAAAAGAACTAACCACTGGATTATTAATTCTCTTCATCATTCCTCTGTACTGGTTCTTACCATCCCAACTATTTCCCAGCACTGGATTTTATAATTATAACAATTTTGTTAACTTTTCCTTACAGCTCCCACGCTGAAGTGGAGGGAGAGAAAAGAGGGAGGGAAGATCTGATTGCAGCAATGAGAAACACTGTGTGAGGCAAACTCTTCTCTTACACAGGAAAAACTTCAGTAAAGATGAGCTTTGGATCTGAAAGTACTTGAAAAATAGATTCCATTCAGCTCCCATAGCAGTTGGATCTGATTTGAATTATTAACACCATTTGTTAAAAGGACCAAGTTGCAGGTTTTAACCAACTGCTTCTGTGAATGCTTGTGACTCATAAAGAATTATGAGAGTGGAGCAGAATAAGAAAACAAAGCTTATGGGAAATATTTTTTACTACTTACAAAGAGAAAAAGGGAAAGGAAACAATGTCGAAATAGAAGAAAAAGAGGGGAAGGGAGGAAGATGTTAATAAAATGTTTAAGAAACTAATTAGAAAAATGTCAGAACTGAATGAGGCATTCACAATTACAACAGACGATCATGAATATGGTGGAAGATATGCATGCTGATTCAAAGACAGATGTGATAAACATCACGGAGAACGTTCAAACCAGTGCACAATAAATTACAAAACAAGAAAATTTGAAAGACCAATTGAAAAGTCCAAGAAATGAAAAGAATGAACACATTAAAATTTCAGCAAACAGAATTACATGTAAGAGTCAGTGGCATCCCAGAAGATTTTGGAAAAGAAGATCTTGAAAGGCACTTTAAAAATGTGATCCAAGACTATCTAAAAATAGGTGGTGATTTTCCAGATAACAAATAGATTTTCAGGAAAAATTCCATGTTTGCACAAAGAAGAAAAGTACCTCATAATTTAGATGCTATTCTAAAACAGCATGTTTCCCAGAGAAGGCAAATGCCCATGCAGCTATGGCAAGATGCAGATGGAGTGTGACTGTATGCAAGGCTTGCAGAGGTTCTAGGGAGGAAACACACACTGAGGACAGGGCTTGGTAGAACATGCAGAGGTGGGAAGCAAAGAGAGGCACGAGGAGAAGACAGTTGGAGCAGTGTGTTTGTAGCAAGCCTTGTGAAGGCACCAGAAGAGCTTGTCTGGAGAAATGGCCACAGGTGGCCAAGGGGAGGCATGAGGAGAATACAAGGGCAGGCAAGTGGTAGAGAGGCAGGAGTAGAGTTGGGAAACAAAATCAAGAATGTGCACACAACAGCTTACTGAAGGCTGAAGATGAGATGTAAGCTGGATCAGTCAGTCTGCAAGCAGAAAACACAATGTCTTAAAAAGTGCTGTGGGAAGAGCCAAGGACTTAGTCAAGAAGACTAAGAGAATGTAACAGGAGTTAGGAGAAAGAAAACATGGAGTACAAAACTATATGCCAAAGGTGCTTCCAGCGATGGGAAACAGTCCTTGTACAATTTGACTCTTCAAGTATGCCTAGTTCAGTGGTTCTCAACCTGTGGGTCGGGATCCCATTTGGGGTCGATCGACCATTTCATGGGGGTCGCCAAGCAAGGCTGTCCGCCATTTTTTTTGTCCGCCATTTTTTGCCCCTTTTTCGGAGGGTGCCTTACCTCCCTTGGGCTGGGCCAGCTGGTGGTCGGCCTGCTCCGTCTCTGCCGCTTGCCAGCTACGCCTCGGCCGGCGCAGGGGGCGGAACCACGCATGCATGGCGCTCCCGGGCAGGGAAAGTCCTCGACTTACAACCGGTTGGGTAGTCCTCGACTTACGACCGGTTTAGTCCTCGACTTACGACCGCTTGGGGTCGCGGCATTAAAAAGGTTGAGAACCACTGGCCTAGTTGAACCTTCTCTTGTCCAGCTATTGCCCACAATGACATGACAGACCTCCTTGCAGAATCAGCCACTTTGTAAAGCATTTACTTTGATGGGATGCAGAACTCCTTGGCTAGAGGGGTATTCCTAGCTTCTTAGCCCCCATGTTGTATTGGTACACACTAAGGAGAGAACTGAGGAAGAATCAGGGTTAGCAGAGAAAGGATCTGAAATTGCTGGTTCTGATTCTGTGGGTACAAATTTTAATAGGATCTGATCTACCCATATCTTGGAATCTGGCCCTGAAATACCTTTAATTATAGAAAGGAAACTATTTCAAATATCTCTCCTAGAATGTTAAAGGAGACAATTCACATTTCTTATAGGAGCTCTAGGAATCAAACTAATTAGATCAGGGTGGTCCAACCTTGGCAACTGTAAGACTTGTGGACTTCAATCCCAAATGGCTGGCTGGGGTATTCTGGGAGTTGAAGTCCATAAGTCTTAACAGTTGCCAAGGTCGGACACCCTTGAATTAGATGGAAAATTCTGTTTGTATTGGAAGTCTTTTTGAAAACAGCAATTATTGGAACAATCACAGAGGCTTCCTCCTTATATGAAAGATTCAATGGACAAAACAACGTTCTATTGTTCAGACTGGTACCAGAGATGAAAAAAAGGAGAAATTTGGCATAAGTGCAGCATTAAACAGGGGGAAAAAAATCCCTGAATCCAAAATATTATTAATTTCATTAAATGTAAATTGACTCAGTTTACTTAAAAAAGGAACAATTTTTGACAAACTCCAAATATATAAAGCTTATATTTTTGATTTAAGAAATACACATAAAGCAAGACCATGTCTGTTTGTTAACACAGAATAAAATTAATCATGGAACATACAGGATCAAGAAGCACAAGGAAACAGCAAGGCAAGCTAAGTCAGTGTAAAGAAAAGAGAGAAGCTGGTTAAAAAAATAGGGAAAAATGGCTCAGGTGTAAGGAACTGTAAAGCAAAGCCAAGTATTTAAGTAGTACTTTGTAGCTTGGGAAAAAAAATGAAAAGGCGGCAATTGTGGTACTGAGTGGTAATTGTGGTATTAATTGTGGTAGTTTTAATCTTCTTACATCACATTTTTGATCACCCACTTTTGTACAATGATGATGCAATAATAAAATTAGCCAAATACTCTATCTGTATTCACAGCTTCATTTCTGAGATAGAAGTGCCCTTTCAGCCCCTTGTTCTCGTCACTGCTAAAATAGCCAATTACAAACAATAGTAATTCGTTCACAGCCTTAAAAACCCCCAAAACCGCTCCAGTGGGTTTTGTAAAAAAAATAAAAATAAAAAAGATGACAGAGAACAGTCTTTCCTCTTCCACAGATTTCTCCATGGTTACCTGAGTGACCACTCTATCTTCCTCGGAGTCAGAGTCATCACTTGAATCTTCACTACTATCTTCGCTCTGCTGAGCCTTCTGATGGGATCCCTTTGGAGGCTGGGGCTTCACCGTACCTACACTTTGAACTGCATGAGTTGCTTTGGGGGCTGAAAGCAATCGAGAGAGAGAAAAGTGATAACTCGGCCAGTTTTAAATACGAGTAAAAAGTTGTACAATTAGAACACACAGCCTCACTCCTTCCTCATCTTTGCTGTCTTTCGCCAAGAGCCCTGAAGATGCGTCGATTCTCAGTGGTTTTCTCTTAAATGTTTGATGAGACAGCTCAAGCAATGTGATTTCAAGATGTGATACATTCTGATATTTTGTTGGCATGTTATGAATTGCCTTTTTGAAATACATTTTTATATCATAGGCAGTTTAGAAGTATATTTAAATATGTACAGGTGGTCCTCAACGTCCAACCACCTTTTTTTGTTGCTAAGCAAAACATTTGTTAACTGCCCCATTTTACGATCTTTCTTGTCACGGTTGTTAAGTGAATCACAGCAGTTGTTAGGGTAATAACAGGGCCATTAAGTGAATCTGGTTTCTCCAATGACTTTGCTTGTCAGAAGGTTACCAAAGGTGTTCACATGACCCTGGGATACTGCAACAGTCATAAACACGAGTCAGTTGCCATGTGTCCAAATTTTGATCACGTGATCATAAGTCACAAATCACTTTTTTCAGTGCCGTTGTAACTTCAAACAGTCACTAAATGAACTGTTGTAAGTTGAGGACTACCTGTATCAGAAAAAAGGTTAATTGGATGGAGAGGGAAGACACAATCTTGAAGAGACTCCCAATTCTCCCAACAAGGGGAGAATATGTGGATAAAAGGCTTAAAATTCATATTAAATTATAACCTAAAAGAAAATGTTTACAAAATAATGTATCGCTGGTACACATTTAACGCCAGGTAAGTTATCTAGAATGTATGAAGTTATTTCAAATAAATGTTGGAAATGTAAATGTAAAGAAGGGATGTTTTATCATTTATGATGAACATGTGATAAGGCAAAAAAATATTGGAGTAGGATTCATATGTTAATGCAGAAAATTCTTAAACTGAACATAAAGGTTAAACCAGAAACTTTCCTTCTGGGTCTAATGGAAAGAGAACTGGAAAAAAAAACTGGAACTCTGATTTTATATATGGTGACAGCAGCAAGATTGCTCTATGCACAAAAGTGGAAGGATGCCTCAATTCCTACCATGACGAATGGTTACAAAAGATGATGGGATTAGCAGAGATGGCCAAATTGACTGTGCTGATAAAAGAAAAGAACATAAGCACTTTTGTTTCTACTTGGAAACCACTTCTAGACTTTGTGCTTGAGGTGGGGAAAAATGATATCATGATTTTGGGTTTTACCAATTAGACTGATTTGCCGATACAGAAATGGCTAGTGCATACTACTATAGAAATGTAAAATAGATGAGATTTGATTTTAATGTCTCATTTTATTGTAACAGAGAGAGTCGGAAGCCAATGCCTTTTGTTTCTTCCCCTCCCCTTCTTCACACCTTTTTTGTTTTCACTTTTTCTACTGTTGTCCCCTACTATTTGCTTTTGTATTTTCACATTTTATGTTATAAATGAATAAAACCAATAAAAAGAAGAAGAGATACCCCTCCACCCTACCCCCAAAACTGAATACACCTTAGGAACAGCCATTATTTTGTGAAACTAACCACAATTTCCTGATACTGAAAAAAAAAAAAATCAAAACCAGTCATGCTGATCCCCCCCCAAGCCAGCTTTGGGACAAAAAGGCTAGGAGAACCATGTGCAATTTTTAATTATAGCATTGAAATTTACATCTCATTAGCAGTTACCTGGTTATGACAGTCACAGGAACAGTGGGGCTGACTATGGATGCTGCAATTTTTTAAAATAAGCAAACTGAGGTGATCCTAGACCAGGGGTAGGCAACCTTGGTTCTTTTATGACTCGTGGACTTCAACTCCCAGAATTCCTGAGCCAGCATAAAAGAGCCAAGGTTGCCTACCCCTGTCCTAGACTTACAACCATTTGTTTAGTGATGGTTTAAATGGCACTGAAAAAAGTAACTTATGACTGTTTTCATATTTACGACTGTTGCAGCATCTCCATGGTCACAAGATTAAAATTTCAGTGCTTGGCAACTGGCATTTATTTATGAAAGGTGCCCTGTCCTGGAATCATATGGTCACCTCTTTTAACCTTCCAACAAGCAGTCAATGGGAGAAGCCAAATTCGCTTAATAATCTGATTCACTTAACAATGGCAATGATTCATTTAACAACTGCAGCAAAAATGTTGTAAAAAAAATGGGATACATTTTACAACTGTCTTGCTTAGCAACAGAAATTTTGGGCTGTAAGTCAAGGACTAACTGTACATAGCACAATAAAAATAAAAAAAGCTAACTGCAGGAAGATGCCTTTAGTTTAAAATTTCAAAATACACAGCACTTAAAAACTGCTGCAGTTCTAAAGTTGTGTGCCAAACCTACTACACCAAGGAACCGGTGAAGAGATGATAAGACTTTAAGCTCCAGGAAAATCTGACTCCTTTAAAAAAATATTCTAAAGTTGTTTTGAATTCCTCAGTCGATTGCTTTAAAGCACCACGTGATATCATCTCTCATAGTTATTAACAATTCAACACTTGTTACAGCTGTAAAACAGATTTTTCACAGATTACTGCGAGAACAAATTTATGAGATCTGTCAACTGCTGTAGCACTGATGGAAACACTTAACACAGTTTGCTTATCTCTATTTCTTTAGGCAAAACTACATAAGAATCTATGTTTTCAGATGTTTGTAAAACAGGGCACAGGTTTGAAAGAAGAATTTGCACAGAGAACTAACAATGAGAACACTTAAAGTTAAAAATATTTCTGAAGGATTTAATATTAACAAAGGGAAGTTTTGTTCAAAATCTATGTATGATACGGTGGAGAAAGTTGCAAATAGAAGTAGAAATGTATCTTTAATACAGCTGAAAAAATCTGTACCCTTTCACTCTAACAGATTAAAATACTGCCTACAAATGATGGAGGAAAATAAGTCAAAAAACATAAGCCGATTAGCAAATTCTTATTTATAATACTGTTCAATTAACAAGATCCACCATACTCCATTATCTGACACCATTAATTATTGAAAAAATGGGATTGTTTGTAAAGCACAAAACAGCTATGCTTGGCCTTGCTAGGGCTTCTTCATAAGAACAAGAACCATTAAAATTAACCAGATTAAGATGTGAATAACCCAGAATCAAGAACCTGTTTATTACTGGTTTTCTTCCATCTTTAGAAAAACTCATCATTCAGAAATTAATCTGGGTTTGGCAACACCACAAAGGACAAGAACATATCAGTTTCCTTCAAAATAAAGGGAGCATCAGCTAATTGGTGAGGCACACTGAAACTATAGGCTAAAGGCAAAATTGAAGATGCTAACACATCTCTTGTGTCATCTTTGAAATAACTGGCATCAGCTCCGAGTGTTGGCATTTCAGAATGCATTTTGTGCATCTCCTTGTTATTTTGTGTCCTTTCCCTGTCAAGCTGCTAAGCAAAGAAATTAGTAGAGCCGCTGAAAATAAAATATTCCTTCCATGAGCATCAACAGGGCTGGAGTCTTCTTACCTGGTGGAGCCAGCAGTTTGCTTGTTGTAAGGTCAGTTTCATCCTCGCTGTCAGATGAGCTGCTGCTGCTGCTGCTTTCATTCTGTGTTTCCTTCTCCTTCAAAGCACCTGGTGCAGCTTTGGGTAGGATCCCAGGCTGATTGGCCTGATTTTGTCTGGTCCTCCCAGAAGGGTGTGGAGTTGCTAATCTCTGCACCTCAAGGAAAAAAACAGGTAGACAAACATGTAAAATTCATTGGTTTTTTATGCACCTTTCCTTCCCTCTTCAATTTCTAACAGAATCGAAAAGATGTATTCCCAGCATTAAAGATAGCGATGATCACAACTGGCTAAGTGTGAGGCTTTGCTTAATGACCGCTTTGCTTAGGGATGGAAATTCTGGTCCCAATTAGAGTTGTAACCTGAGGATCGCCTGTGTAGCCTGAAACAGATACAAAAACGTAATCTGCCTGCCAGACTTATCTTAAGAATTTAAATATCAGATATTTTTGGTACCATTTTATTTACAATAAAATACATTTCATAGTATTTTATTTATGTCTTTTAGCTTTGTATAGTTTTTGCTTTGTTAAGATTGTAAGCTGCTCAGAGCTACTTTGTGGTAACATGGGCAACCAATAAATTTTATAAACAAATGAATAACATTTAAATGTGCGCTTAAATTTGTCAGATCAACTGCTTCTTGAATAATGCACAACAAATATCCGATCTGAAATCCTTTGGTCTTGCTAGTACTAAAGGTGGATGATGCCCACGGTATAAATATTACAGCTTCATGGCGATGTATTTGCAATAGAGTTTATTTTGGAAAGTAGAAGGGGAATAAAGCACTACTTTTACAAAAGACAACCAGCCATTCAATTGCCACAGAAGGAAGCCACACAGCGGTGAGCGGTACAAGCTACAGTTGCTGAATTACACCAGACTTCAAAGCCCGCTGAGGAAGCTAAATCAAAGCCGTCTTTTCAAGAAACTCAGCATCTGGTCTGCTGTATTTTTAAGAACTCTGGGGAGAATAACAAAAAAACGAGGCAAGAAAAGAAATAATTTTCTGAGCAGCTTTCATCTGTAAACAGGGCAATACTGAGGCTGCTAGGTCCCTAACATCAGTTCTTTTTTTTCTTATTCCTCTGTGTGACAACAATGAATATTGTAAGACGGTGTAAAGTACGGTGCAAAACACACCTGACAATCACTGGGGAGAAAAGGCATGTTCTCCAAAAAAAGGGGAAAGGAGTTATTGAAATGGACCTTTTTTTCTTTCTTCCGCCTTTGTAAGTCTTCAATCTCAGTAATTTGGATGTTCCTGTTATTACTAGTCAGCTGATATGCACAATTTTGTCATTTTGGGCCTATTTCTTTCCAAATCAATGTAACTAGCCTAACTGTGCTAACTGAACGTATATGTTAGATAATGTAGGTGCCTGCTTTTACACAAATCTTTCATTCATAATACATATTTTCTCCTGGCTTTTCAAAAGAGTTTGAAGATCTGGCTCTGCCGACTCCCATGGCGCTCACCGAGGAGCAACCAAAGGAGATGTATATTAAACATTCAAAAAGGAACATATCCATTCACCTTCTACTGAGAAGTGTACAAAAGCAGCACTATGGAAAAGGACAGACTTATCTCGATGGAGGGAAAAGACAGGAAGGTGCAGCAAGAGGCAAAGCAGAGGCCAAATTTTACAGATGAAAGATGGAGCAGATAATAGGTGTTTCTTATATTAGGCTTCCGAGATGCCAATGGAGAGAGCTAGAACTATATTGCTTTAAGATATGGGGTACACACACTGGCAAAGAAAGGACCATTGTGTGCAAAATTATTCTGTCTGATCATCTAGGGCAGACATGTCAAACACAAGGCCCATGGGCTGCATCCGGCCCACTATTTGGTTGCATCTGGCCCATGGAGCTGCACTGGAAACAGCAAAGGACCGGCCCACAGCACCTCGGCCCAGCCCAAGCTGACCGGACGCTGATCTACAACCTGATGCCAGTCATCAAAGACAGAACACGCTCCGCCTTAGATCCACGGGGCAGCCCTGGAACCAGCGACGGGCACCCCCGCCCTGCCCCCTGGGCGCATGCGCAGGAGGCGGCGAGCAGGCGGAGCCCGGCATCTCAGCTGGCTCTCTTGCCCTGCAGGCTGACTCAGGATGCCGGCACTGGCTGCCTCCTATGCGCATACCCAGGGGGCAAAGCGGAGGAGGCAGGGCGGCTCCTCGCTGGTTCCAGAGCTGCCCCGTGGATCTAAGGCTGAGCACATTCTGGCTTTGATGGACGCAACCAGGTTGTAGATCAGCGCCATCCCCACTTCCACCAGCACCTCCATGGCCCCCTCGCTGACCTAGCCTCGCAGTCACGAGGCTTCTCTTTCACTGGGACCGGCTCCGCCCGCGTGGGATAGTGATGGCAAGCGGCAGCTTGGCCACCGGTAGTGTTGACAATCTCTCCCCCTCCTGTTGTTCCTTCCTGAGCATGGAGGCAGGAAAAAGATGGGAATGAAAAGCAGGGGAGGAAGGAAGCAAGGAAGGAAGCAAGGAAGAAGATGGAAAAAAGAAGGAGGGAGACAGTGAAGGAGGGAAAGAGGAAGGAGAGGCAACTTGTTTGGAGATGCCTCAGTTCACGCAGTTCTGCTTCAATCCTGGATCCATTGAGACTTCAAAGGAGAAAGCAATTTTGTGTTCGGTTTTGTCACAGACAGAACTTTGTTGGCAATCCAAGTTAACACTGGTGTTGTTGAATTGTGAACTCTTAGGAAAGTATCCCCTCCTTGTGTGTTGTAAACAGTCATTTCCAGTGGGGAAAACAGGACAAAGCAGAGTGGGGAAAATATTTTCCTTTGCTAAATTTCCAGTCTGAAATAGACCATGGCAGGATCCCTACAGGAGAGCTCTTTTAAGGATTATGTATTAATAGAAAAGCAACTAACTTACCTCTGTTCCTAAATGCTAAAGCTGTTGCACATAAAAAACAGAGGAGCTCTGATCAACTATCACAGCCACCATTTTGACAGTTTTGCTGTACTGTTGTCTGTGGACGCCCCCACTAAATGCAAGCATGGTTTGTTCTCAGTCTTTTAAGTGGCCACAGACTACTAGCAAAAGTGGCATTTGATCACAAGGCAAGGAGGCATCGAGAAATGTTTCCCCTTTTGCATTTAAGCACCCAAGAGGGAACAGGAAAGGAGAAAGACAAACAAAAAGAAGGAAAGAGGGGAAGGAAGAAGGAAAGGAGAATGAAGAGGGAAGGAAAAAGAAGAAAAGGGGGGGAAGGAAGGAAGATTATAATGAGAGGGAGGAAGGATCTGAGGGAAGTCCTGTCTTAGCACTTGGCCACGAGCAGCCCTGCTGCCCTTTCACCATCCTTATCCCCTCTTCCTGACCTCTCCTGGTGGTCTCCTGTCCTATTGCTGAGGATGCTTTGGTTAAAAAGCTGGTCTCCTCGTGGGGAGAGGGAGTGGACCTCCCTCTGACCCACACATTTTGCCCTCCCGCACACACCATGAAGAACTTGACCAAGGAGAGCGAGCCAATCAGCAGCAGCCTTGAGGAGGAAGTAAGCGCAGTCGTGCGCCCCCTTGGGAAAGGCTGGACTGGGCGCCCGCCCTCCACTACCCAGGGCTCTGGGCAGCCTGCATCCTTGGGGGTCCTCCACATGGTCTGAGAGGGACAACAAGGCTCCTCTGGTGGACAAGGGTATGGTGCTCGCCCTGGTCTCGCCTTCCTCGGCTGGAGACAATGGATCCCCCCCAGCCCCGCCCGGGCCACCACAGGCGCCCCCGACACAAGCGATGTTGAGGTGGCCACAACCAGGGTCAACTACAACCCTGATGCGGCCCTCAATGAAATCGAATTTTGACACCCCTGATCTAGAGCAGAGATGGGGAATGACAGCCCTTTAATAACTTGTAGACTTCAACTCCCAGAATTCCTGAGCCAGCAACCTCTGCTCTAGAGGAAGCCTCTTAAGGTCACTTCCATGAGAGGTAAAAGGCCCATGGACCAGAAGGCTGGCATTTTTTGATCACAGTTTGTGGAATATGCACTCCAGAAGTTTGCTTCACTCTTTTTTTTTTTTAATTTTTAGGAAATCACTCAAAGCCTGATGATTCCGATATCTAGTTGTGGAAAGAGGGGATGACCATTTTATCTTAATTATGACATTTTTGACGTTAGTGTATTTTAGCAGGTTAATTCTTTTTAAGGTTAATGTTTAACCATGTTAATGTTCATGTTTTTTTTTACACTATCCAAAGATGCTATCTTAGCAGGCTGTAAATATCTTATTAAAAAATAAGCAAATCATCTTACAATGGCTCATGCAAAAACTAAGATCAACGTTCCTAGAGTTTTGAGGAAAAACACCAACCTTCTGACTTATCGGAACCGGCAGAGTCTCATTGTCACTCTCAGATGATGAGTCACTGCTGTCTGAGCTCTGAGCTTCTTTTGAAGGAGCTGGTGGTTTTGATAGGCCGGTTGCAGGGGCCTTCTGGGTGGATTTTGAGGGAACAGAAGCAGAAACTGCCTTCTTTGATGGACTTGATGCTGCATTTTTCTCTGGTGCTTTGAAGGCCTGAGGATTTTTTTTGAGATAATTTTAACTTATGGTTAGAGATTAGAAAAAGGGTATAAATCAGTTTATGAACTTGGAATATGACACTCTGGTGTAATAAATAAAAACGAAGGCTTGGAAAATAGGTTAAATTGTTCTCTAAACGATATCAGCGTCTTCTTTCCCCTGAACTTTATTTATAAGTACAGAGCATTATCACAATTTAAATCAATAAAAGTATAACTACTTTGTGTGTGTATATACTTACAGAATTTTCCAAATGCTTTCAAGCAGTTCCAGGGTAAGAATAGAATTATACTGTATATACCAGGGGTAGGCAACCTTGGCTCTTTTATGACTCGTGGACTTCAACTCCCAGAATACCTGAGCCAGCATGGCTGGCTCAGGAATTCTGGGAGTTGGAGTCCACGAGTCATAAAAGAGCCAAGGTTGCCTACCCCTGGTATATACTGTACATGCATAGTAACGAGTTACCAAGTAAAACTGGTATTTAAAAGTGATCCCGAATTAGCTGTTCATCGTTCATATTGGGTTTTCTTTTTTTACACTATCCAGAAATGCTACCCTGGAGGAATGTAAGTGTCTTCTTAAAAAAAAAAAAGCAAATCATGCAAAAACGAAGACCAGCGTTCCTAGAGTTTTGAGGAAAAACACCAACCTTCTGACTTATGGGAACAGGCAGAGTCTCACTGTCACTCTCAGATGATGAATCACTGCTGTCTGAGCTCTGAGCTTCTTTTGAAGGAGGCGGTGGTTTTGATAAGCTGGTTGTGGGGGCCTTCGGGGTGGATTTTGATGGAACAGAAGCAGAAACTGCCTTCTTTAATGGACTTGCGGCTGCATTTTTTGCCGGTGCTTTGAAGGCCTGAGAATTTTTTGTGGGAGATAATTTTAACTATTATTCAGAGATTAGAGAAATGGTATGTCAAGAGTTCCTGAACCTGACTGAGACATTCTGGCGTAACAGATCTTGAGAAGGTTTGGGAAGCAGGCTAAACTGTTCTGAAGCTATGTCAACTTCTTTTCCCTGAACTTTATTTTTAAATACAGAGCAATATAAAAAATTAAATCAACACATAACTCTTTTGTGTGTATATTTTATGTGTATATACCTACAGAACTTTCAAATGCTTCAAGCAGTTCACAGGGTAAGAACAGAATTGTATATGCATACATAGCAAAGAATGCTGAACAGAACTGATATTTAAGAGCAATCCTGAATTAACTGTTTCTATTTCGATCTTTCATTAGGTGAAGGGTTTATGTTATGTATAAATAACTGAAGGGTACAGACATTATGAAATAATAAATAGTAAGGGTTTTTTTAAAAAAATAAATAAATCAGGATGTAATACATAATTGTCTATGCTTCATGCACAGTTGCCCTTTTGCTTAACTATTAATACTCTAACAGTATTTCAACAAACTCAGAAAAGCACAATGGTAGGGCTTTGTGGTTCACTGTCATGGAAGCTGCAGTTGTGAAGGTGAGGGATGGACGTGGGAGGCAGATGCTACTGGAAAGCAAACAAACCAGGGCTATTGCAGGCATGTCAAACTCGCGATGTCGCGTGATGCCACGCGATGTATTGCGACTTTCCCATTGCCGGCAATGGGGTGGGCGCGGTTTCGGTGTGACGCATCCGGCCTGTGGGCCGGCAGTTTGACATGTCTGGCCTATTGGAACTCTTGGCAGAATTCATTTTACTGACTACTTCAACCTTCTGGATCACCTAACACTTATTGTACGCCACTCGTAATCCTTCTTGGAATAAATCCATCAATTATATTTTCTCTCTAATGAACTTACAGTAGACGAAAAATCAGTCAGTATTTTGAATTATTTAACAACAAATTGGAGAGCCACACATTTCCTTCCCGTTTGATATGTTAGTCTGCTGGATGAATATATCTAGATGGAGATCATTTTCAAAATTATTTATTAAAAATGTATAGGACCTTGGCATTCTTTTAAAACGATAAAAAGGCACATTAAAATTGTATTTTACATTAAAATACACTTAAAGCAGTGGATGTATTTTATTCAATGCTGTAGAAGTCCTAACATTTCTTAATGTTTTAGATTAACTTTTGTGCAGTTTGTACGAATCAAGTTACATTCTGTGACGTGGCTTCATTAAAATCAGATAAGCATATTTTTTTTTTATCAGAATTGAACTGAAAGGGTAACTAATGGGCAGGGTAAAAGACAATCTAGTAAATGCTCAGCCCCAAAACTGCCGTAAGGGTGGAATCTTTGTTCAGCAACAAGTGAAAAAAGATATCTTTGTGAGCACTGTCTGTAATCTTAAAGTCTAGTGAAATTACAGATCATGTTAACTAAACACTTAAGTTACTTTATATTCCAGTTTCAATCTGTCATACCAAAGTGAGAACTTAGTTGACACTAAGTGATTCTTATCTCTCAAAATTATAAATCGGCTCCCACAGCTCTTTAGATTCCACAGGAATAGTTGGCAGTAAGTATTTGCCCAATAATTCATATATGGCAGATTTCCATTTACTGGAAACATTTCAAGTTGTTTTCCTTTCCTACATTTTGTACCTATTGGCTTCAGCTATTGGAATTAGTATCTTGGCCAACTTTACCAATGCATCTCACCTGTGATACTGAAGCAGGTGCCTTAGTCTCATTATCCGATGAGTCAGTAGTTTCTGAAGTGTCTGTTGATTCTGGGCTTCTGTTTGCATTTCCAGATTTTGCACTGACTTGTTTTGCTGTAGTTACCTTTACTGTATTTCTTGCAGAATATCCAGGAGTGACTGGTGACTTGTTCAGCAGTGGACTACTAATCGGGGAATTTTGCACAGCTGCTTTAATCTAGAAGGAAAGATTAAAAAATGATTCTCGTATTGTGGGGTGAACAGCATAGGTATTGGCTAGTAAAGATGCATATTCCAGCTAATGCATTGGAACAGTCAAGTTGGGACAAGAGAAAGATAAACCCAGTTAGTACTTGAACCATATCTGATCCATTGAGTAATGTCATTTTATCAAGTCTAATCTATTGCTCTAACTTGAAGGAGATAAGTAGAGGACAATACATCCACTCATATCCCAGTGTTATTCTTTTGTACTAACAAAACTCTGGAAAGTTGCTTATGTAGATTTAGGAGAAAGGAAGCAAAAGGTAAGTATGGTTTTTCTCTTGTATTTCCTGGAACCTCTTTGGGCAGGATAAGTTTTCTTTCTTTCCAATTAGGAGAAGGAAATGAAGAAGAGGGTCACGCTTAGGGAGAAAGCCTCTTGAGAAAAGCAATTTAGAACCTGGGCGGGGAAAAAAAAAGAAAATGTAAAAATAACTATGACTGGGGTTGGAGGGAGAAAAGGAAAACTGAACTTGGCCATGGCTCACGTGTCAAAGTTAGAGAGATAAATCAACCCTATTTTCCCCCTAGTCAAACAAAACCACACCATAGAGGAACTTCTCTTCAAAATGAGATGCTAAATTTGACTATGATAATCAATGCTAGCCTGCCTGGTCTCCCATTGGAATATGAATTGGAATAAAAATTATATTCTGCTCACAATATTAAATTCACATTCTCAAAACCATCCTGATGTCTACTTTTCCGCCCTCTACAGAAGTAGGGAGAATAGCTTATAATGTATTCCCTTCCCCATTCTTGGAATGAAGTCCTCAAGTGCCAATTCAGACTTTAGCACTAGAGACAATGCTGCTGTTGATTCAAAGATGCACATGGGAAAAATAGGACAAACAATTCCTCTGAAAGTATCCAAGCATAATTATTTCCTGGTAGCCTTAAAAGCTAATGTCTGGCACAAGAGCAGAAGTTGGAAAGCTCCATCCCAACATCTCAGGTTTTCTTGGACGCAAACGTAGTGATGGGGCAAGAGATTCAAATAATGGGGGCAGGTTCATTTAAATTTAGAACCCCATCAAACTTGAGTGCATATTTTAATTAGCTCTACAGTGTTTACTGGTCATTAGAGGACCAATTCCCGTATTCTTCCATCTCTATTTCAGCTTATATAGAATTATAATTTTATTCACTTTAGGAAAAGGGTGCGTTGGATTCATAATGTCTTCTCTGGGCATCTTCTGAGGACAAAAATGCACACTAAACAAATGAACAGTGTCTGGAGGTTAATGCTATGGAGCTGCTTTCCAATCCTATAATTTTTCCTCAACATATCCTCCCCCTTGAAAACGGCCAAATGGGGAGAAGCAAAGGGTATTCTTTCTCAAAGGCACTTTCCCTGCTCTGCCTGTGTCAAATGAGTGAATTATTTAGCTAGCTTCCAGGCACAAACAAAAAGGACATGCCCTTCCCCTAATTTAAAAAACTGTTAACTGGAGTTACTTGGACTGTTGGTGCTTTTGTCCCGTCTTCAGAGTCAGAATCATCACTTGAGTCCTTGCTTGTGCTCGCCGCCTTCTTTAAAGCTAAAATATAGAAAAGAGGATTTGATGCCAAAGGAGATCACTTTTTAAAAAATATTCAGCTTTTATGGCTACCAAGACTAAATTATAGGATATCCAAAGTTATCTTTGTTGCTCCACATATCAAAGTTTAAAATATGAGTACAAATTTGAAGTGGGGCCGATCCATTCCCACCATCACCAAACACAGTAACCAGAAGTAGCTTCAGCATCTAAGGTTCTTGCAATGTAACAGGTATGTCCTGCTAGCTCTACAAAAGATTCTGAAGCCAAAAAATAAAAATAAAAATCGTGATTCTATGACACTGCAGAGACACCCTTCAATCCTTATCCACATATTCAGAACATAATGACCACATGTTAAAGGTCACACAATTACATACACTTCATCAAGGCAAGCTTCTTTTTAACTCAGAAAGTTGTTTTGAGTCCCAAATTTGTAGAAAGAACTCTGATACCTGTTTTTCTTGAAGTGCAGTCTTTATAGATAGCATCTGGATTCACATTAAAAAAAAAACCTTAGTTTTGCTCATTATAGCGGTGTTATACTGCATAAACACCCAGGTCATTTAAGGCAGTCTCCCTGGTGGCGTTTAGATACTATTTCCAAAAATTTCACTAAGCCCATCAAGCCTATCTGAAGGATACTGTTTGGGAAAGGGTATCTTAAGATGCTTTCACAACTGGCAAAAGGAATATTCTCTCTGACAGTGAGTTTGGAATTTTCCTTCAGCCTTGAGTAAGAACTTTGAGATTACCTGAGTGAGGGACAGAAGTAAAACTACTGTAGCACATCTGCACCATTATCGGTAAGACAATAAAGATGAGACCCTTTTGCAAATTTAGAGCACTACCTATGCAACACCACAATGAGATCTTAAGCCCTAAACCTACCTGGTTTGGAAGGTGGGGCTTTTGCTGGGGTCAAAGTTGTTTCTTCCTCACTCTCAGATGAGCTGCTGCTGCTGCTGCTGCTGCTTTCAGAGCTCTCTGCTGTCTTTGTGGTCTGTGTTGTTTTTTGCCCTCCTGAAATCAGTGACTGCGCAGGAGGTCCTGCTTTGCTAGAAAGAACTTTATTTGGCCCTGCTTTTCTCGCAGCTGGAGGCAGGGTCTTATTTGAAGCAGATTTGTTCTGCTCTCCTTTTGCTTGGGCAGCAGCAACAGTCACCCCCTTTCCTGGGACAGAATTAGCATTTTGATCAGCCAGTTGCAGAAGTTCAGTTTTGTTCCTAGCCACGGGGTTTTTGTCCTACAACAAGAAAAGTTGGTTAAAAAAGAAAAAAGATTCCCCGATATTTGTCAAATCATGTTTATAAATACTTCTGCATATCCTACGTACAAAGGAACTTTCTGACGAAAGGTTTCCCATAGATTTCATAACAACAATTGCCTGTTTAATATGCGCTCTGGAGAGACCTCACCCCCAGTTCTAAATTGAAGAGCACATCTGTTCTACCATTCAAGAGCGATCACCTCAACAGATCACCAAGTGGCTACCTGAAACAGGGTGTGACAGTCAAGAGCTGGGGGAAGATACCTTGTCCCCAGCAGACTTAGCAGCTTGTGTGATGGATGAGATCTTCTGTATGGCAAAAATGAGGTTGACCCTAGTTCAGGGGTATAAAAGTGGGATCTGGCCAATATCAGCCATTTCCTTAGTGATCACCAGAGGAGACTGTTTCAGCCCCCCCTTTTTAAATGGAGAGAGTTAAGGAACAAATTGGATACCTTAAACCTTCTAAAGGCTAAAGACACCCAATTAATAGTATACTTTAAAATTATGAACTTTTCCCCTGTGTATGTGTCTTTGTATATTCAGATACTTTATAGCACTGGATTAAAGACACCATTTTGAAGTAATATTAAAGACAACTTACATTTTTACTTTCTTCTCTTAGTAAGAAAGATAAGCAATATACAAACAAGCAATATACAGTTTGCTACTGAGGCATCAGAATTTATCTGTAAAAAACAACGGAGGCAATACAATCTATGGACTCTTGTTTTTGAATTGCAAGGTAAGTCTTTAGTCAAGACAGTCACTTTTCTAAATTGCGCCTAACTGCAGATTTTAAATATTTTCTAGGATATAATGTTTAAAATAAACAGACTCCTGGTGCAGTCCTAACCGACCATCCTAGATACACTTCTTTTTTTTTGGAGCAGAATAGCAGTGATCAAGGTCTGCTTACAGTCGTTTTGGCAACTGCTTCCTCTTCAGAAGATGAATCTGAATCTTCGCTGCTACTCTCTTCTTTAGTTACTGTCTTTGTTGACTTGGTGCTGTTATTGGCAGGCAGATTATCTGGAACACCCATACAAAAGAACATCATGTTGAAAGACTGAAGACGATTTTTTTCCAACTTATATTACAATCAATTAGAATGGAAAAGATTCTAGAAAAGGAAGTAGCCAAACTGAATCATTGAAGAGGCTCTGTTCTCTACTTCTTCTATCAAAGGATAAATGATCACTGAGTGACAGGTAGGAAATAAAATATGCTAATTAAAAAAGTTTCTTTCAAGCACCTGGTTGAAATGATTTTGTCCATTCTAGTGCAAACGGACACAGTCTCAATAATATCAATACAAACCACTCAGTGCCCAAGCTATGCCAAATAGCAATAATACATAAAAGTGTACTGAGGTTGTCCTGATTTAAATCTTCTCAAAGTTAATTCTTTTCTACTCTTAAATTCTCCGTTTTATTATTTCAGAGATGGGAAGTTGTGAAGAAATACAACAGACTTTCAACCAAGTATTGCAAGAAAAGGATTAACTAGAACAGCTGATTTCCATAATTAAAAATACACTGCTTTGTAATTGCCATATCTGTACCTTAACAATGAAAATTTTTGTACAACAATTAAAAAGTGTTGTTCAAAGGTACGTTCTACAGATAAGGTTGAAAAAAAGTCATGGATGCAATTTGAATTTTAAATACTAAAGTGTCAAATCACAATTCTAATGAATCTGGAATACTTATACTATATAAAAAAATAAGGTGTCACAAAGTTGTAGTCATGTAGTATTCCAAATATTGTGAACTTGTAATGTTGCCAGAATGATATATAAATGCATAAATGAATAAAAACTAAAATTTCTCTTGTTCCCAATCTCATTTCCTTCTGTATTACATTAATACAGATAGGGGTTTATTTCATTTTTGGAGCTTATAGGAAATGAGATACAATGTTCTTAAACGATGCCCATGCCATTATCAACGCACTAATGCCCCAGCTTTCCAACTTTCCTTGTTCTCCACTAAGAAACCACAAATCAACAGGTTTTAGGATTTATGCACCTTTAGTTCAGCTTCTTGAAGTATTAATGAGACATCTACATCTCCCCGTTTCATGCACCCCTCTTCTTCTCAAAGTCAATCATTTGAAAACTTTTCTGAATGGTTCATCCCCTTACTTTTTACGGTTCCTGCTGCTTGCTCCTCCTCCTCTGAGCTCTCAGAGCTGCTCTTGGGGTCAGGAATTCTGATCTTTACTGGAGTGCCTCTCGTGGTTTCTATGGTCTTTTTTGGTTTTCGATTTTGTAAGAAAGTCCTGTTAGACAGATTTTATAAGGATGCTGAATTGGAGTTAATAAGGCTTGCTAACATTCTCAAAATGTATTCAACTGTATGCCACTCTTCAGAAGCACTATCTTTATTATGGCAGAAATAAAAGTTGGCATTACTTTGCTTTACACACAAAAAAACCTTGATCTGACTCGATACAGTTTGATCATTTTCTCAAGAAAATATAAGACCAGGCAGACTTCAAACTTAATATTAAAAATAAAATTAGAGCTATACATATCCTATACAGGACCATGAAATTATAATGGAAAACTTAATTAAGTCCCATAATAATCTAAGCTGCAAGAGCATGGTCCTAGGATTTTCTTATCGTATACAAGAGAACAAACACAAAGGACAAAATGGCTTAGCTAAATGTATCAGCGTTTTATATTCATATTGCTACTGTAATTCAATGCACCAGATTACTGGGCTTTGTACGAATTTATTGTATAAAAAGGATTATTTGGGTACCAAAAAGCTTAAAACAATGATATTTTGAGGTAAGAAAGCTAATTTAAATATCTGTCTTAATATAGTTGCAACTATAAGCAGCTTTTTTGAGTAAGTTATTGACAACAGACAAATTCTCTTCTTATACTGTTGTTTGAAACTAGTCCAAAACCCAATACTGAATGCATGAATGTATTCACAAGATCAGGACTCTTAAATCAAGTGCAAAAGAATTAAATAACAATTAAGTATAGCTATAAGGTAGCAACAGGCAAAACATCTCTAACCACCCTCCAATAATAAACAGAAAAGCTTACTTTCTCCACTGAGCGATGATCTCTTTTAGAGAAATATGAGATGATGGGAAAGTCTTCTATACAGGAAGAAAAAATATTGGACTTGTATGATTAAATCATTTTTATTATAGAATCTTTAGTACAAAACTCTGGATTAAAGTTTCAATTCTAAACGTGCATCTATTAAGTAGAACTTTACTCTTTTAAAGCTGAGGTGGGAAATTAATTTTCCCAAAGGCCACATAGGAATTGTTGTGGAGGACTGGCCATTGCCCTTCTCTCCCGCCACAGACCGAACTGGAACCACCTATGAGCCAGATGTGGCCCTCTTGGGCCATAAAATGCCCAGGTCTGTCTTAAAGATATGCACAGGATTCTTACAGTACTATGATAGGCAGTGTTACTCAGGAATAATGCCTGTTGATTTCAATGGGATGCATATAAGACCAGAGCCCAAATTTGAAATCCCATGGTACACATTTTTAAATAAGACTCACTGGTTTTTTATGAATATTGAAATCAACAGTTTTGAGAAACTGAAATACTGTATAAGTAGTATTTTCAATCTACTCAAACTTCAAAGATTCATTAGCAGAAAAAAATATACTGTTCAGCACATTGATTAGTTTTATTTATTTATTTATTTATTTATTTATTTAATTCAATTTATATCCTGCCCTTCTCCCAACGGGACTCAGGGCGGCTCACAACATATTTAAAACAAAGGCATATATACAATCCCCCCTGTAAAACCGAATTAAACCAAATTTTAAAGTTGTGTTATTTCGAATTCCTTAAAATGAACCCAGTATAAAATCCTCCCTAGGCCAGGTCCGCTTGCTGAAAAAGCCATGTCTTGAGGGCGCGACGGAAGGTAAGGAGATCCGGAATCGTCCGAATCTCAGGGGGTAGTTCGTTCCAGAGGGCAGGGGCACCCA